CTGGAGCCTCGCTAGTTGTGCAGTTCTTGGGGGGGTAGTGGTGGTTTCTCGGAAATTAGGGGGCCTTATGAGGTCCCTATCATAAGAGAATCCTCGTATTTGGGGGCTATTTTGGGGGTCCCCTATGTTCGTAAACTCCCAGTGGGTTTGGGGGTTCTATGGGGTCCCGTTTTATTGTTTCGGTGCGTGGTTGTAGTACCAACTTCCTTCCTTCCTTAACCAGCAGGAAGTTCTTGGGAGGATTTGGCTCGGGCTCTCTTGGGGAGTGGATTTAGGGTTCAGGGCTTAGGGTTTAGGTGTTTGTGGGGGGGGGGGGGGGCCTTGGGATTTTCTTCATTTGGGGCTTTAGGGCTCTTGAACTGGTAAAGAAGGCCAGGCCCCCCCGGTTTCGGGTGCAGGCTTTTTGGGGTTTCAGGGTTGAGGGGTTTAGGGGTTGTTTTTTTCGGGGTGTTTTGGTGCTTACGGTTGAACTAGGGCTTTTGTGTTTAGGGATTGGGTTTAGGGTTTTGGGGACGTGGGGCTTGTGGAGCGTTTGCTTTGGGGGATGTGGGCTCAGCGGGCTCAAGAGGGTCCCCCCCCAGGAGCTGGAAGAGAAGTTCGGCGCCTTCATAAAAGACAGCGTCGTGGCATTTGTTTCGGCTTATGGGGCTTATAGGGTTTGTAGGGTTTATAGGGCTTATAGGGTTTAGAGGGTTTAGTGGGTTCATTGGGTTCATAGGGTTTGTAGGGTTTCTGGGCTTAGAGTTTAGGGCGTTCAGAGGTATGGCCAGGTCCATGCCGCTGTCGGGGTGGCTTGCAGGGTCGTCTCAACTTCCGGGCTAAGGTCGTCTCAAAAGCTCTGTTGACCCTGAAACCTAAACCCTAAACCCTAAACCCTAAACCCTAAACCCTAAACCCTAAACCCGAAACCCTAAACCCTAAACCCTAAACCCTAAACCCTAAACCCTAAACCCTAAACCCCCAAACGCTCCCTTAACCCTATGATGCCCTGCGCCTCAAACCCCAAAATCCTCGAGCCCTGAAGCCCTAAAACCCTGCGGGTTAGGGTTGAGGGTTGAGGGTTGAGGGTTGAGGGTTTAGGGTTTAGGGTTTAGGGTTTAGGGTTTAGGGTTTAGGGAAACCCAGAATCTATAGGCCCCCTAAGGAAATATGTACTACATCGACCCCAACATCCTCCAGCATCTCACGGCCCGCCACAAGCTCTCCTATGCTGAGCTGGCTTTCTGGCAGAAGCAGGAGGTTTAGGGAAGGGGGGTTAGGGTTTAGGGTTTAGGGTTTAGGGTTTAGGGTTTAGGGTGTAGAGGGTTGAGGGTTGGGGGTTTAGGGTTTAGGGTGTGGCTGTTCATGATGGTTGCGTTTTGAAATTGGGCTTGCCCTAGTTGCTGGGGCTTCGTTTGAATCTTGGGGCTTAGGCCGTTAGGCCTCCACCGCCCAGTGAGGCTTTAGGGTTCAGGGCTTAGGGTAAGCAGGCTGTGGGGAGTTCCGCACCCAAAGTGCATAAAGATCAAAGACCCTGAACTCTAGACCCCAAACCCTCAAGTCCCCAAACCCCAACCTCCCAAATCCCTGACCCAAATGCAGGCTCAGAGCCAGAAGCCGCCTTTAAACCCTACATCTATATCTAAACCCTCAACCCTAAGCCCGCATGCCTAAGGAACCCAAAGCTGGGCCTTTAATGGGAAGAGCTGGCTAGCCAGCAGGCCGAAGACCCCTCGAACGCATTGATAGTCACGCCGAGGCCCTGTGACTCGTCCTCTTCAAACACACAACGGGAATACTGTCGCCCTGGTGCAAGCGATCTTCCCCGATCCCAAACCCAAAAAGCTTAAGCCTCGAACCCTACAGCGCTCGAGCCCTAAACAGACGCTAAACCGTAAGCTCTAAACCCTAAACCCAAAATCGGAAACCCTGAGCCCCAGCCCAAGACCTTAAAATCAAACCGGCCGCAAAGGTCGGCCCTCAGACGGTGCAGTGGTTTGCCCCTGCGCTGCACCCGGGTTCAGGGTTTCGGGTGTCGGGTTTAGGGTTTAGGGTTTAGGGTTTGGGGTTTGGGGGTTTGGGGTCCAGGGGTAGGGTCTGAAAAATCGCGGGAAAGTTGGAGCTTAAATGGTTCAGAGCCCCAGGGTGTAGTTTTTGGCCAGGGTTTTCGGTATCATTCGGACTTAAGAAGCCTTAAGCCGTATACCCTAAACCCTAAACCCTAAACCCTAAACCCTAAACCCTAAACCCTAAACCCTAAACCCTAAACCCTAAACCCTAAACCCTAAACCCTAAACCCTAAACCCTAAACCCTAAACCCTAAACCCTAAACCCTACACCCTAAACCCTGAACCCTAAACCCTAAACCCTAAACCCTAAATTCCAGGTAGTTCACCTTGGTTCTCCTTGCTGCTCTGAGCCCTTGAAGCCCTTAACCTCAAGCCTGGCTTGTTTACGACATTTGTATGCGGTTTCTTTGAGGTTTAGGGTTTAGGGTTTAGGGTTTGGGGTTTAGGGTTTAGGGCTACGGTGAGGCAGGAAGTGTTCCTGTCGACCGAGCAGGTCAGCCACTGGTGGGGCACGCAGTACCGCGTCTACTGCATGACGCTGCAGCGGCACGCGAAGGCCTCTCACCCTAAACCCTAAACCCTAAACCCTAAACCCTAAACCCTAAACCCTAAACCCTAAACCCTAAACCCTAAACCCTAAACCCTAAACCCTAAACCCTAAACCCTAAACCCTAAACCCTAAACAAATCGCGAAGGCCGTCTGCGAGACCTCCGATGAGGCGATCTGGGGAGCCTTGGATTGTTCTATATTGTTCCAGGGATGGATGTATATGGATGTTCGGGGGATTATAATACATACGGTTCTGGGGGTTTACGAAAATACGGGGGCCCCTAAGAAAGAGCCCTCAAAAATAGGATCCCCTGAGAAGATGGACCCCAATAAGGCGCCCCAACTTCAGAAACCCCCTTCTAGGGATGGCCAGCCTAGGAACCCAAGCCTCCATTGTTGTAGATTCATTTTGCCTGCCGGGGGGGCTTTCTAATCAGAACCTACAGAAAGGCTTCGGGTTCTTAAGGCAGGTGCTTTCTGCCATCCTGGAACTTCTTGTAGAGAGGGATGTAACCCTAAACCCTAAACCCTAAACCCTAAACCCTAAACCCTAAACCCTAAACCCTAAACCCTAAACCCTAAACCCTAAACCCTAAACCCTAAGTTTGTGGCGTTCTGTCCAAGGAGCCACCAGCTACTGGATATGCCGGACGCTGAGATGTGGGGGTGAGGGAGCCCTGCCAGGGTTCGAAGAAGCCCCACAGAAGGGAGACCCGAAGGCCGAAGCCATAAACACGAGGTAGGGTTTCCCATGGCTCAGGCACCTTCTCCAACAACCAGCACCAGATCAAAGAGGACAACCCTAAACCCTAACCCTAAACCCTAAACCCTAAGCCCTAAACCCTAGACCCTAAACCCTAAACCCTAAACCCTAAACCCTAAACCCTAAACCCTAAACCCTAAACCCTAGACCCTAAACCCTAAACCCTAAACCCTAGACCCTAAACCCTAAACCCTAAACCCTAAACCCTAGACCCTAGACCCTAAACCCTAAACCCCCGAAGCTGTACATGGGTCAGGGCCTTGCTAGTCCTTATGGGCGCAGGGAGCCCTCCGCAGCCCTGAAACTTAAAACGCCCGCAAGCACTACCGGCGCTGGCAGTCGCGAAGCCGACAGAAACAACCCCTCGGTTCTTTGTGTAGGGTTTAGGGTTTAGGGTGTTGGGTTTAGGGTTTAGGGTTTAGGGTATAGCTGTTGTCCGTGTCAAAGTCCAATTCTCAAGTAAGCAGACGCTGCTGTAGACAGGACACAGAAACGTCAGAGGTGTTGCAACGTGCGTAGACGACGAGTGGAAACTGCTGGGGCGTAACAGAACCTAGACCCTGAGAACCCCAGCCTAAAACCCCTAAGGCCCAAACCTCAAACCCTAAACACCTAAACCCCTAAACCCCTAAACCCCTAAACCCCTCAACCCCTCAACCCCGAAACCCCGAAACCCTGAAACTTGCAACAGAAACTGTGGCCGTGCTGGAAGCCGGAGCCCGCCAGAAGGGTCGGGGGGAACGGCTGCGACAGAAGCCCGATGGGGACTTTGTACAGCAACTTTGGGGTTTGGGGTTTCGGGGTTCGGGGCTTCAGGGGTTCAGGGGTTCAGGGTTTAGAGGGGTTAGGGTTTAGGGTGCAGTGTGTAGGGGTGGGGGGAAGGTAACAGCAATCCCCTTACCTGCACTCCTGGGCGACGGGGCCGGTGATACAGGCCGCCGGTTGCCGTTACAACCCTCAAATCTGGCCTGCTGCAAATAACTCCCGTTTCGTTTCTCTCCTTGAAGGGTCCAGCCGCCAGTTTGATGTCTACAAGTTCTATAAGCCCACAGCTTAGACCCTTAGCCGCAAGTTCCACATATATATTTTGTTAGCACATTTTATAGATACATACATGTTCACATAAGAAATTCAACCTTACACCCTAGACTCTACTGAATCGGACCCACCAGCATCGGGGAGGGGGGGGGAGCAGGAGCTTGGCAGCTCCCACAGGGAGTCCTCCTTCTACCTGGCTCTGCACAGCGGGGTCTGCAGAGGCGCAGCCCAGAAGTCCTCGGCACATCGCCCAAGCACGGTTGAGCGAACGAAGCTGAACGCCTCAGATGTTGCACCCTTCAAACGTGTGCGTGTGGGCGAGCGCGTGTGCATTCGCGTGCGCGTGCGTGCGCGTGCGCTCTTGATTCTACACTGAGGGGGCTGGATTCTCCCAAGCCCTAAACCTCAAAACCTGCTGTTCTCTAGCCCCTGTGCCAGGCACCTGCATGATCCTGGATGAGATGGCCATGCCATTGAAGAGGCCGTGTTCGGGAGTCAGGGTTCTAGGGTTTACACTCCCACCCTTAACCCTAAACCCTAAACCTCAACCCTAAACCCGCAACCCTCAACCCTCAACCCCAAGCCACTCGAATCAAGAGGGCCTCAACCTCCCATGCCGAATTCCCACAAAGAGCCTAAACCCTAAACCCCTTAACCCTAAACCCCTTTATCCTAATCCTAAACCCTAAACCCTGAACCCTAAACCCTAAACCCTAAACCCTAAACCCTAAACCCTAAACCCTAGACCCTAAGCCCTCAGCCCTAAGCCCTTTAACCCCAAACCCTAAACTTTATCCCCTGAACCCTAAACCGACCTGAATCCTGAACCCTGGATCCCCCACATGCGTTCTCGAAGCTTTCAGCACCCAAAACCCTGAACCCCAAACCCCAAACCCTAAACCCCAAACCCCTAAACCCTAAACCCTAAACCCTAAACCCTAAACCCTAAACCCTAAACCCTAAACCCTAAACCCTAAACCCTAAACCCTAAACCCCTTTCAGCCCCCGAAGCCTGCAGATCCTGGTGCCTCTTCGAACTGCTTCAGACCATTCATCTGGAGAAGACGCAGGCGACTTCGGTGGCCAAAGGGTTCCAGAGGGTTCCCCCCCCTCAAACCCTGAACCCTAAACCCTAAGCTCCAAGCCCTAAACCCTAAACCCTAAACCCTAAACCCTAAACCCTAAACCCTAAACCCTAAACCCTAAACCCTAAACCCTAAACCCTAAACCCTAAACCCTAAACCCTAAACCCCAAACCCTGAACCCTGAACCCTAAACTTCAAGCCCTAAACCCTAAACCCTAAACCCTAAACCCTAAGCCCTAAACCCTAAACTTTGAACTCCAGTGAGTAAGTGAGGCCAATTTCAGAGGGCTGCTCTTCTGCACCGAGAACGGCGTGCCTCAGCCGCGGGCAGATACTTCGTCAAGGGCCTCGGTATTTGGAACTTTGCGGTTTGGGGTTTAAGGTTGTAGACCCTAATTCGAAACCGCGCCGATATCCTAGGGGCTTCACGACGACAAAAGCCTGGAGCCCAGAAGAAAACCTGAACCTCTATGAAAGCGCTGAGCAGTGCCGCCTCATGTGTTAGACGCTTGACTCGCGTAGGATGTGGTGCCGTGTCATTCTGTGGGGGGCCGTAAGGAATCGAACGTGAGTTTCGGTTTTTTTCGGCGCAAGTTGGCACACAAGGATCCGAAACCCTGAGTTTTAGATCCGAAACCCTACACCCTAGACCCTAAACCGCAAGGTCTTGAATTTTGGTGCGTCGACCGTCGAGATGTCGATGCAAATTGGTGAGCGGCTGTCTGGTTTAAGCTTAAAGGACGCCGAGGCGACCACGGAAAAGGACACTTGGGGGGTTCACTGGATTCAAGGGGTTAAGGGTTTAGGGGTTAAGGTGCAAGGTTTCTGAGGACTTCAGGGATGTAAGGATTCAGGGTTTGAGGGTTTAGGGTGTAAGGGTCTCGAGGATCTAGGGGTTTAAGGGTCAAGAGATGAAGGGATTTAAGGGCTTGCAGGATTTTGGGGTTTAAGGGTTTAACTGTTTTCGGGGCTGAAGGGTTTGCAAGGGTTTCGGGATTAAGGAATTAAAGGATTTAAGGTTTAAGGTTTAAGGTGTAGGGGTTCAAGGGTTAGGGTTTCGGGGCTTATATGAGCCAGCATAGCTGCACCCCCCCTGCCCCCTTCCCCCTTCCCCCTTCCCCTTCCCCCCCTTCCCTCCCCCCCGCCATGGTTCATGGTCCGTGGTTCATGGTTTTAGGGTTTAGGGTTAGGCTGTAGAGTTCGGGATTCTCACTCTGACCCCCTTGGTCCATTGGTTCGCGGTGGGTTTAGAGTTTAGGGTTCAAGGTTTGGGGTAATGGTAGGTTTATAGTTTCCCCTCTCCCGCCTGTGGTTCGTGCTGGGTTTACGGTCCGGGGTTAAAGCGGTTAAGGTTTCGGGTTTACCCTTCTCCCTTCATTGGCGGGTTCAGGTTTTAGGGCTTAGGGTTCAGGGTTTGGGGTTTAGGTTGAGGCTTTCTCTCTCCCCCCTGTGATCCGTGGTCTTTTTAGGGTTAACGGGCAGGGTTTGGGGGGGGATACCTGGGGGCGGGGGTCGATTACGAGGAATGCGGGCGCATATATAGGGACTTCTTCTTTGCTCTTAAAGGGTTTGAAATGCCTTGTGGCCCTAGGCCCCTTAGTCCTCTGAGCCCTAAACCCAAAACCCTAAACTCTAAACTCTAACCCCTAAACCCTGAAACCCAAAACCCTAAAAACCCCTAAACCCTAAACCCTTTAGACCGCCAGCTCGCGCAGGACAAGAACATGATCACGGAGCTCGTGTTGCAGCATGGCCTGATAGAGCATCGGAGGTGTTGGGCTTAGGGTTTAGTGTTTAGGGTTTAGGTTGCGCTAAGATTCCGACTTCCGCGTGAGGCAAGAAATGGACAGCTTTGAAAAGATCGATGCCGTACTCCGGGAACACATCAGTGAAGCCCTGGGGATCTGCCGCGACCGCGTCGACGACGACTTTGACGCGTTGTTTCGTAAGCTAGGGACTCTCAAGGAGCACCTGGCGGTAAAGGTACGTGATGATGCTGTACATGTAGCAGTATGAGCGTCCAGCAGCTTGAGATGAAGATTGTTTCGGTTCGCACATGTGGTTTAGGGTTATCTTCTATCACTACTTTCTACCGAGTGCTACCAGAACGTAGCGCTCTGCCCACTATGTCAAGCGCCAGTGTTTTCTCCTCATTGTTACCTTCTACCATTCCACCAGAAGGATTGGTTCGCCGACCACCACCACAACTGTAACCAGTACAACCACGACGATCATTACCACTGCCCGGCACTACCCACCCCTGCCCAGAATTACCACCTACTACCGCCACTGCCATACTACCACCACTACCACATACTACCACATACTACCACATACTACCACATTCTACCACATTCTACCACATTCTACCGCATACTGTCACATCAAATACTACCACCACTGCCACATACTAAGACATACTACCACATACTACCACATGCTACGAGATTCTACCACATACTACCACCACTACTACCACCACTACAAGCACCACTACCACTATCACCACTATCGCCACCATCGCCACTGTCGGCACTGCCACATCTGCTTTCGATACAACCACTACCACCATTACCGCTACCCACCACAACTACCCACCACACGGCCACGACTACTGTCACCATGACAAAATGGTTGAACGAGGCAGAGGAGGACGACGGTGACGACGAGGCGGAGGAGGAGACAAGGAGGAGGAGACAATGAGGAGGAGACAAGGAGGAGGAGACAAGGAGGAGGAGGAGACAAGGAGGAGGATGGGGATGACGATGCTTCTATGATCTACCACGAACAACGGCACCGAACTCTTACCGGTTTTGGGTTCTTGAATGTACGGTCTTGGAGAACGATGCTCAAAAGGAGCTCTTTTAACAATAGTTGTGCAGCAACAACCCTTGCCGAAGTACCAATTGGGACGTCTCCACAGACTAGAATACCCAACGGCACCAATGAGGGTTTAGGTTCAGGGGTTTAGGTTCAGGGGTTTAGGGTTGGTAAACGTCCAGATGTGCTTCGGGGGGGGGGGGGGGGTGTGCACGCAATTTCCCTCAGTGCATTTCTGCACCCCTCTTGTTGTGACTGCGCGTCAATTTCTACAACCCTGACAAAGCTTCATATACATCTGCGACCCTAACCCTAAACCCTAAACCTGAAACCCTAAACCCTAAACCCTAAACGGATGCACAGAAAATGGTCGTCAGGCTGAGGTGCGAACACAACGGCAGCCCACGCTGATGCGTGGTGGCCGGTGTCTTTGCCCGCACATCCCAGCCTCATTTTCAAGGTGCTCCCTTGGAGGTTCAGGGTACTTAGTAACCCAACCATTAGGGTTTAGGGTTTATGGTTTAGGGCTTAGGGGGTAGGGTGTAGGGTTTAGGGATTGCGTAGGGTTCAGGGTTTAGGGTACTTAGTAACCCAAATTAACTCTACTTAGAACCCAATGATAACTAACTGTATTCGGGTACCTAACGGGCTTGTAAGTGGGCTGGAACACTACTAATTGGGTTTACAAGTACCCTGAACCTCCAAGCACAGAAAGTCGGTCTTAGACCACTAGTTTCGGAGTTCCCATATCCCCATTCTGCTTCGTAGCGAAGTGGCTCCGGGGCTTGCGCGCCATATCCGCATCCGCTTTTGAAAAAGACTCCAGAAAAGGGGGCCGCAAGCTCTGAGGCCCCCAACCCTGAAGGCCCCCAAACCCTACACCCTAAAACCCTAAAAGCCCTAAACCCTAAACCCTAAACCCAAACTAAACACCCCAAACCCTACACCCTAAAAACCCTAAAAACCCTAAAAGCCCTAAACCCTAAACCCTAACTAAACACCCTAAACCCTAAAAACCCTAAAAACCCTAAAAGCCCTAAACCCTAAACCCTAACTAAACACCCTAAACCCTACACCCTAAAAACCCTAAAAGCCCTAAACCCTAAACCCTAACTAAACACCCTAAACCCTACACCCTAAAATCCCTAAAAACCCTAAAAACCCTAAACCCTAAACCCGAACTAAACACCCTAAACCCTACACCCTAAAAACCCTAAAAACCCTTAAGCCCTGCCTTTTGTTGGCCCTGAGCGCCAAAACGTTACAGCCCGCTCGAGCCTGCAAGCACCCCAGGCCCCTGAGCACCCGAGTTCCCAGGAGTATTGTGTTGAGGGTTTAGGGTTTAGGGTTTAGGGTTTAGGGTTTAGGGTTTAGGGTTTAGGAGTTTAGGAGTTTAGGGGTTTAGGGGTTTAGGGTTTAGGCATTGGGGCTTAGGGTTTTTGGGTTTAGGTTTCAGATGGTTCCATAGAGGCCCTCCTGTGCACACCGATATTTACTTCGCTTTCGCACTTTCGCAAGAGCCTTCTGAGAAGCTTCTGACTCGAACCCCTCTACATGGCCTAAACATCCCTAGGCCCTAAATCTTGGGATGTTCCGCCTTATACTAACAGTCCTCAAAAAACGGGAGCATAATAGCCCCTACTATAATCCCTAAAATACAGCCTCAACCCAGCCCCGAATGAAGCCCATTCAACCCTAAACCCCATTAGGCACAGCTTGTTTAGGACTATATAGGAAAGCGTGGGTTTGGAGAGTGGCTTTGGGGAAAGGTGTGCGGCCGATAGGGATTTGCCTTTCAGAACTGTGTCTGTGGGGTTGCATGGTTCCAGTCGTGGGGCTTACCGCTTTGTATGGTTTTGGAGGATTGGGGTCGAGGAAGGGGCTTTTAGGCACTTCCCCTTGTTTTTTTGGTTAATTTTTTAAGCATATTCTAGTAGATTATTGTATATTATAGTACATCATAGTATATTGAATATCATGATATATCATCGTCTATCCTAGTATATCATAGTATATCACAGCATATCATAGTATATGCCGACCCAAAACCCCAATCTCCAAAACCCTTATAAACCCTGACAATGCAGGAGTCATCCACCAAGAAGCCCCGGCAAGCTATACATTCTACTTCAAAAGGGCACCCTAAACCCTAAACCCTAAACCCAAACCCTAAACCCTAAACCCTAAACCCAAAACCCTGAACCCTGAACCCTGAACCCTAAACCCGTAAACCCGAAAACCGGGCACCGCCAGAGTCACGTGGCCCTGCAGCGTGCTGTCCCCGTAGCCTCCGATGTCGCAAGAGACGGAGCTGCTTGTGGAAATCGACAAGGCAGAGGGTTTAGGGTTTAGGGTTTAGGGTTGTTTAGGGTTTAGGGTTTAGGGTTTAGGGCTTAGGGCTTAGAGCTTAGGTTTAGGGTTTCGGGTTTAGGGTTCAGGGTTCAGGGTTTAGGGTTTGGGGTTTGGGTTTAGGGTTTAGGGCTTAGGCTTAGGGTTTAGGGTTAAGGGGGACAAGGCACGCCGCTGAAGAACTTACTCCAGCCTTCATAATTACAATAGGGTTCTGGGGGCTTATTTTTGTATATTTTATCGAGAAACCTTAAGGAATTACTATTCGTAATTATTCCGACCCATTAGGTTTTGTTTAAGAGCGGAGAGAATACTAGATCATCGTATTTTCATGGCATATTATAGTAGGTCACAGTATAGTATAGTACAGCATATTTTGTACATTTTCCCGTAGCATATAGCACATTTCAGTATATCATACTTTATGTACTCTAGGATTTTCACGGCTTTTCGTTTTGGGGCTTCGGGTTGTTTGGTTCAGAGTTTGTGCTCAGACGTTTTGGGGCCTCGCTTCCGGTGTGTCGACATTCTAGCTCTGCACTGTAGATGCTAAATCCGAAACCTTAAACCTTCAATCCCAAAGGCCCTACAAGGCCCTACAAGGCCCTACAAGGCCCGACAAGGCCCCAGAGCTCTAAGCCAAGAATCCCAGTCCCTAAACCCTAAACCCTAAACTCTAAACCCAAGCCCGAAACCCTAAACCCTAAACCCCAAACCCTAAACCCCAAACCCCAAACCCTAAACCCCAAACCCTAAACCCCAAACCCCAAACCCCAAACCCTAAACCCTAAACCCTAAACCCTAAACCCCCAAATGTGCGTTGCAGGCCCTGTGGCCCAAAGGCGTCGTGCGGACGCTGAGTGGAGCGTCCGGCACCCAAGAGCCTAGTGGGAAAGGGATCGTCTTAGGGTTTAGGGTTTAGGGTTTGGGGTTTAGGGTTTCGGGTTTAGGGTTTAGGGTTTAGGGTTTCGGGTTTAGGGTTCAGCGTTTAGGGATTCGGGTTTAGGGTTTTAGGGTATTATTTTTCAGGGAATCCTGCTATTTGGGGGTCGATTGTAGGGGTCCCCAATTTTCGCCCCCTTGTGCCTGTAGCCACGTTTGATTTCCCAAGCCACAAGGGAAATGCAGGGAGCCTCAGAAATGGGGCCCGCATTTCTAGCCTACTCCCCTCATCCCGAGACCGGTTTAGGGCTCAGGGTTTCGGGCTTAGGGTCTTAGGTTTTCTCATTGGGGTCGCTGAAAGGGTAGACGTGGGGACGTGTCTCGGGTTGTTGGGCTTTTAGACTTTGTGTATGGGGGTTTAGGCTTTAGGGTTTTTGTTTTCGAGATTCGGCTGTAAAATTTCGGGGAATGTAGTACAAGGACTACTTCCGTACAGGTACTGGTACTGGTAATTACCTGGATGAGTTGTGTCAGTACCAGTACTCGTGCTTGACCAGTACCAATTTTCCGGGGCTTTTGGGTCATCTAAGTAAAGAGGTCCATGTCTCAAACATAGGGGTCCTTCCTATAACCCCTATATGAAGCATGTGGACCCTTATCGTCACGCCTCATCTTTGAGACACACCCATACATCCCGAAGTTCCCGGTGCTCGAGGCCCGTGCTGTTTTAGCATCCTCCTGAAGAATGCCTAAGAGCCCGCTGGAGATTTCAGAGAGTTCAGAGTGCAGCCTGTCTGGTGGACTTCTGGGAAAGAGGCAGTGGCCATCCCCTTGAGCTGTCAGAGTTGGGGGACGTAAGGGCGTTAAAGCGGCACCTGCACCAGACGTGTGGGCTGCCGCGGTTTAGGCAGTGCCTCATTCATGAAGGCATCATTCTGCCAGATGATGCTGGGCTCGCGGCAAGG